ATATACCCTGTATTATTCCTATGAAGTCCCCTCTGATGCCAACTGTCCTGGTGTCTCCACTTGCCTTTGCCACCTTGATATAGCTGTCATGAAAGACCAACAAACCCTATGTTACTGTATTTTTATTTCCATCTCTACTATTTGCTACAACAAAGGTTCTATTTCATTGACTTTTCCCTTGCTTTTTAAAAAAGGATGGTCTTTAACTTGTCTGAAGAAACCTCCTGTGAATTTCCAAAGGGCTCCCTACCTGTTGCATGTGGGAAATAGCCACACACATCCACATCCCATTTGTTCTAGGGCACTGATTTTCGAAGACTGAATTCATGCTATCTTCAGCCTTTGAATAAAGTTCACATGGACAACTATGAAGTTTAAAAGCATACGTTGAGTTTGGGGTACAGTCATGAGAATAGAAAGGTATCTCAATGTGGTTTGGATTTGCATTTCTCTAATGACCAGTGATGTTGAGCATTTTTTCATATGTTTGTTGGCCTCATAAATGTCTTCCTTTGAAAAATGTCTGTTCATATTCTTTGCCCACTTTCGAATGGGTTTGTTTGTTTCTTGTAAATCTGCTTTAGTTTTTTGTAGATTCTGGATATTAGCCCTTTGTTAGATGGGTAGATTGCAAGCATTTTTTTCCCCATTCTGTTGGTTGCCGGTTCACTCTAATGATTGCTTCTTTTGCTGTGCAGAAACTCTTAAGTTTGATTTGATCCCATTTGTCTATTTTGGCTTTCGTTGCCATTGCTTTTGGTGTTTAAGTCACGAAGTCCTTGCCTATACCTATGTCCTGAATGGTATTGCCTAGGTTTTCTTCTAGGGTTTTTATGGTGTTAGGTCTTATGTTTAAATCTTTAATCCATCTGGAATTAATTTTAGTGTAAGGTATAAGGAAGGGGTCCAGTTTCTGCTTTCTGCACATCGCTAGCCAGTTTTCCCAACACCGTTTATTAAACAGGGAATCTTTTCATTGATCTTCTTCACAGAACTGGAAAAAACCACTTTAAACTTCATATGGAACCGAAAGAGAGCCTCCATAACCAAGACAGTCCTCAGCAAAAAGAACAAAGCTGAAGGCATCACGCTACCTGACTTCAAACGATGCTACAAGGAATTTGTTTAAATTTTAACTCCAGCCCACTAAGGTCGTTCCTCTAACACTCAGCAACAGTTGCAGTGTTCCTGAGCTTAGGGCGCCCTCTAGTGCTGATGTAGCTTTAATAACCACAGGCTGAAATCACAACACTCAATCTCCTTCAAATACCTGAAAAGCTTTCTCAAGAAGGATGGACGCAAACAAGCCCAGACTGTGAAGATTACAATATGTATCTAACTCTTCAATGTCCAGACATCAACAGCCATCTGCAAGAATTAAGAATATCCAGGAAAACATGACCTCATCAAATGAACTAAACAAGGCATTAGTGACCAATCTTAGAATGATAGAGATATGTGACTTTTTAGGAAAGAATTCAAAATAACTGTCTTGATGAAGCTCAAGAAACTTCAGGACAACACAGAGAAGGAATTCAGAATTACATCAGAGAAGTTTCACAAAGAAATGGAAGTAATTTCTAAAAATTCAAGCAGAAATTCTGGAGCTAAAAAAGTTTAATTGTCAAAGTGAAAAATGCATAAGAGTCTTTCAACAACAGAATTGATCAAGCAGAAGAAGGAATTGGTGAGAACTGAAGACAGGTTATCCGAAAATATATGAAGCCAAAAAAAGAATTAAAAAAAAGTATGTCTATGAAATGTAGAAAATGCCTCCAAAGGGTAAATCCAAGAGTTGTTGATCTTAAAGAGGATGTAGAGGGAGAGAACAGGGTAAAGAGGCAGATCTTTTCCTCAGTTCATGGAACATTTTGAGAGATCAGGGTAGAAAGATCAGAGAAATAATAACAAACAACCTTCCAAACCTCAAGAAAGAAATGAACATCCAGGTACAAGAAGGTCAAAAAACACCAAGCAGGTTCAGCCCAAATAAGACTACCCCAATGCTTATAAGAATCAAACTTTCAAAGATTAAAGATAAAGAAATGATCTTAAAAGCACCAAGAGAAAAGAAGCAAATAATATATAAAGGAACTCCAGTACATCTGGCAGCAGACTTTTCAACAGGAACTTTACAGGCCAGGAGGGAGTGGGAAAATATATTAAAAGTGCTGAAGGAAAACCAACTTTCAAACTAGAATATTATTTCCAGCAAAAATATCCTTCAAACATGAAGGAAAAGTAGTCTTTCAGACAAATAAAAGCTGAGAAATTTTATCAATACCAGATCTGTCTTACAAGAAATGCCAATGGGGGTTCTCCAATCTGAAATAAAAGGACATTAACAAACAACAAGAAATCATCTGAAGGTATAAACTCACTGGTGATAATAAGTACACAGACAAATACAAATACTCTAACACTGTAACTGTGGCATATGAACCACTCATATCTTTGGTAGAAAGACTAAAGACAAACCTATCAAAAATAATAATGGTAACAACTTTTTAAGAGATAGTATAAAAAGATATAGAGACAATAAAAAATTAAAAACCAGAGGAGATTAAGTTAAAATGTAGAGTTTTCTAGTTTTTTCTTTGCTTGTTAGTCTTTCTTTTCTTTTTAATCAGAATTAAGTAGTCGTCAGTTTAAAATAAGTGGTTATAGGATGTTATTTGCAAGCTTCATGGTAACTACAAAACAAAAACCTGTAAACAATATGCAAGAAATTAAAACAGACTACCACACAAAGTCAACTTTACACAAAGATAGAGAAAGGGAGGGGAGGGGAGGGGAGGGGGAAGGGGAAGGGTAAAGGGAAGGGGAAGAGGAAGGAAAGGGAAAGGAAGGGAAGGGAAGGGAAGGGAAAGATGGGAGGGAAGGATGGGAGGGAAGGAAAGAAAGGACCAATGAAACAACCAGAAAACAAATTTTAAATGGCAGTTGTAAGTCCTTACCTAGTAATAAGAACATTGAATGTAAATGGACTAAAGTCTCCAATCAAAAGACAAAGAGTGGCTGAATTGATTTAAAAAAAAAGCAAGACCCAACTATATGCTGCCTGTAAGAAACTCACTTCACCTATAAAGAAAGTCACAGACTGAATATAAAGGAATGAAAAAAGATATTCTGTGCAAATAGAAACCAAAAAAGAAGAGAAGCAGCTATACTTATATCAGATCAAAATGGATTTCAAGACAAAACTGTAAAAAGAGACAAAGAAGGTCATTGCATGATAATAAAGGAGTCAATTTTTGCTAGAGGATCTAACAATTATAAATATATATACACCCAACACTGGAGAACACAGATATATAAAGCAAAAATTATCAGTGCTAAAGAGAGAGGTAAACCCCAAAATAATAATAGCTGGGGACACTAACACCCCACTTTAAGCATTGGACAGATCACCAAGACAGAAAATCCACAAAGAAACATCAAACTTAGTCTGCTATGAACCAAATGGATACAACAGACATTTATAGAACATTTCATCCAACAGCCACAGAATACCCATTCTTTTCCTTATCACATGGAACATTCTCAAAGATAAACCACTTTTTAGGTCACAAAACAAGTCTCAAAAGAACCCAAATAATTAAAATCAATATCAAGTCTCTTTTATGACCACAATAGAATAAAAGTAGAAATCAATAACAAGAGGAACTTTGGACATTACACAAACACATAGAAATTAAAGAACATGCCCCTGAATGACCATTGGGTCAATGAAGAAATTAAGAAGGAAATTTTAAATGTATTGAAACAAATGAAAATGGAAACACAACATAGCAAAACCAATGGGATACAGCAAAAGTGGTACTAAAAGGGAGGGGGTTTTATAGCAATAAACATGTATGTCAAAAAAGTAAAAAAAAATTGATAAAGCAGGCTTAATATCAAAAATTATTGCCATATCTTATTCCCTTCCCCAATATAGAAATTATTTAGAAATCCATAGCAAAAAGTTCAAGAAAATGTGTAGTGTGAAAAAAATCATGCAGGAATTTTTAAAAATTTTGCACAAAAATAAACTAATACTAACTGTTTATAAAATGTTTGAACAAGTTCTAGTATGAGACAGTAAAAAAGATAAGACATCAGTTTGAAAAGAGCCCCTATCGGAGCAACATGAATTCTGCTAAAATTGAAGCAAGAACAAATATCAAATGTATGGTGAAACCTGGGTAAAAGAATGATGAAATCAATGATGCTTTGCAAAAAGTTTATGGGACGATGCCCCAAAGAACTCAGCAGTTTGCAAGTGAATAACTCATTTTAAGAAGGGGTGAGATAATATTGAATATGAAGCCCTTAGCAGCAGTCCATCCACATCAGTTTGGGAGGAAAAAATTAATCTTGTCCATGCCCCAATTGAAGAGGACTGATAGTTAACAGTGAAAACAAATGTCAACATCATGGACTTCTCAGTTGGTTCAGTTAACAGAATTCTGACTAAAAAAGTAGAACAAACATTCCACTTGATGGGTGCCAAAACCATTGTGCCCAAATCAGCTACACACAAGGGCAGAGCTTTCAATGAAACTTTAAACAAGTGGGATCAAGATCCTAAAACATTTATTCAAAGCATTATAACAAAAGTTGGAACATGGCTTTACCAGTATGACCCTGAAGACAAAGCAAAATCGAAGCAAAGATTAGCAGGAGATGGAAGTGACCAGTCAAAGCATAAGCTGATCAGTTAAGAGCAAATGTCATGTCAACAGTTTTTGGTGGACATACAAGGTATTTTGCTTGTTGACTTTCTGGAGGGCCAGAGAACAATAACATCTGCTTATTAGGAGAGCGTTTTGAGAAAGTTAGCCAAAGCTTTAGCTGAAAAATACCCAGAAAAACTTCACCAGAGTCCTTCTTCACCATGACAATGATCCTGCTCATTCCTTCCATCAAACAAGGGCAATTTTTCAAGAGTTTCGATGGGAAGTCATTAGGCATCCACCCTGCCATCATGATCGGGCTCCTTTTGACTTATTTACATCTCCTAATCTTAAAAAATCTTTAAAGGACACCAATTTTTCTTCAGTTAATAATGTAAAAAAGACTATATTGATGTGGTTAAATTCCCAGGAAACTCAGCTCTTCAGGGATAGACTAAGTGGCTGGTATCATTGCTTACAAACGTGTCTTGAACTTGATGGAGTTTATGTTGAGAGATAAAGTTTATATTTTCATCTTTTTATCTTTTAGTGTCATCTTCCACTAACTTTTTAAAGTTCGCTCATAACGAAAAAATCCTCACATGCTCAGATAAGAAACACATTTCTCAACCAGTGTTTCTCAGATATTAAAGTGTATACAAATCACCTGAGGATCTTGCTAACATGCAGATTTTGATTGATTCATTCTGGAATATGTTGAAATCCTGCATTTCTGACAAGCTCCCAGGAAGTGTTGTTGCTGCTGGTCTTTCCATCACACTGTGAATAGCAAAATCCAAACTAATTCATACGTCAGAAAAGGTGACACAGTGGAAATTGAAAAGTGTTTATTTTTAGGTGAATGATTATGTTAATGAAACACTACATATCAAAACCTATGAAGTGTAGCTAAAGCATATATAAAGGGAAAATTAGTCTTATCCAGTTGGTTATACTGAAGAAAAGCTGAAAATTTATGAGGTGACACAAATAATAAGTTAGAAAACAATAACAGAATAAAATAAAATTTATTTTCTCTGAGAGGAGAAAATAAATATTTTCTAATTTTCATAATATTTAAAATAAAATATAATTAAATAAAAATCAAACATAGAATCAACAAAACCAAAAGTTGATTTTGAAAGGACCAATTAATTAACTTGCCATAGGAATGACCAAGAAAAAAATGAAAACACATTATCCATATGAGGAATAAAGCATGTAGCCATTGCTATAAACTCTATAGATAGCAAAAAGATCAAAGAACATATTGGGAATAACTTAATGCCAAAAATCAAATTTAGAAGAAATAATTACTTGATGTGATTCAAGAAGAAATTGAAAATCTGACAGTTCTGAATTGTTAGGGAAATTAAATTCCTAAAATTCAATTGAGTTGTTCTGTTACATTCCAGTGTCTGATCCCTAGCTCTATGGTTTTCAAGAGATAGTTGCAGAAGCAGCAGAAATATATCCTTGCTCTTAGGTTATAGCTACCATGATGTGTTCTTGAAGTCCAACATGTCTAATCACAGGCCCCTGTTAAACTACCTTCCTGCTTGTGAAAGAACTAGAAGATTCTCTGCTGGGCCAGTTTGCTGGGATTGTTCTGGAAGTCATTCTGGGAGACCAGTCCCACAGTCAGCTTCTAAAGAGAGTTTATAAGCACATAATCCTGCATGTTAGAAATATTTCTGTTGAAAATAGCTAGTGTTTTTCATTTCCCAACTGATACACGTAAGTGCAACACCTTGCACATGTGAATAATTTGTCATTTTACAAAATTATTCTACACTGTTGATAGATTCATTCCATATACACATGCAACATACTTAATTTTTCACAACTTTCCAATTCTTATTAACTCAACTTTTTGTTCCCTAATAACTGTGCTTCTCTTCTTACTGGTGCTCTCAATATTCTTATTGTTTTTGGACTAGCAAGACTTGATAAGGTGAATAATGTTATTTTAATGCATCTTAAAACACCAGAAACCGATTAATATGTGATATTCAGGATTAACTGATTCTAAAGGGCTGTTAAATCTATCTCTTGATATTGACAAGTAGTAAGTAACTATGCCTAAGCTTGATTATTTTTGTTCATAGAAGTAAAATATACATTTCATAAAGTTAAAGCTCATAAGTAGATTTGCTTTTAGTTTTAAAAAATTACAGTTTAGTTTGAACAAAACAGAGAAGTCATTGGTAACTAGTGAAATCCTAAAAAGATGTGAATTTCAGGAAGGCAAGGAACCAGGGAAACTCTTGAAACTTGAACAATGAATGATTTTCAGAGCCAATGAGCTTCAATATCTGAGTTTCTTAGGAAAAGTCCTAAATTAGCAGAAGAAAGCATTTGATTGGTAGGCTTGGTTCTACTGTTACCCCTGGATCAATCAGCTATACCCAAGGAATCTGAGCAGTACACCATAAAAATTACTGCTTTTAATTAGTTCAACCATTATGGAAGACAGTGTGGTGATCCCTCAAAGGCCTAAAATCAGAAATACCATTTGACCTAGCAATCCTATTACGTGGTATATGTCCAAAGGAATATTTATATTTATGCCCATCGTTTGGGCATTTGGATAAAGACTGGATAAAGAAAATGTGGTACCTATATACCATGGAATACTATTCAGCCATAAAAAAGAATGAGATCATGTCCTTTGCAGGGACATGGATGGAGTTGGAGGTCATTTTCCTTAGCAAACTAATGCAGGAACAGAAAACCAAACACTGCATGTTCCCACTTCTAAGTGAGAGCTAAATGATGAGAACACACGGACACATAGAGGGGCACAACACACACTGGGGCTTACTGGAGGGCGGAAAGTGAGAGGAGAGGATCAGAGAAAGTAACTAACGGATACTAGGCTTAATAGCTGGGTGACAAAATAATCTGTATAACCAGCCCCCACGACACACATTTACCTATGTAACAAACCTGCACATCCTGCACATGTATCCCCGAAGTTAAAAAAGTTTTTTTAAGTTGCTACTTTAAAAGGATGTGGGAATCATTGTAAACTGAAAAGTTAAAGATATGCCAAGAGTATTAGCCCACAAACTTGTTTAACAAACATCTACTGAGTTTGTATGTTGATCCGATACCCATGCTGGCCACTGGACATACCAGTACAAACAAGACAGAATCTTTACTCTCCTCTAGCTCTTCTAATTCTCATGCACTAAGTGCCAATCTTATCATAACTGGCTGACAATTAGTGAATCAAATACCTAACTCATCCTACTCCAACATTAAGAAAGAGACATGCAGCTGGGCACAGTGGCTCACGCCTATAATCCCAGCACTTTGGGAGGCCAAGGTGGGCAGATGAATTGAGGTCAGGAGTTCAAGACCAGCCTGGCCAGCATGGTGAAACCCAGTCTCTAATAAAAATACAAAAGTTAACTGGGCATGGTGACATGTTCCTGTTGTCCCAACTACTCTACTTGGGAGCCTGAGGCAGGAGAATCACTTGAACCTGGGAGGCAGAGGTTGCAGTGAGCCAAGGTCGTGTCACTGCACTCCAGCCTGGGCAACAGAGTGAGACTCCATCTCAAAAAAAAAAAAAAAAAAAAATGAAAAAGAAAAAGAAAGGGCTTGCTCTTTCTTTCTTTTCTTATATATCTTATGTTTTTCTCCAGGATCAAGAGCAATGAATTTGTTGCAAAGAGGTGTTTAAGAAAGGGTGTTTTCAAGCAGAGTCAGAAAAAACACAGCTATGGCGAGCAGCACACAAATCTGCTTTGGCTGCACTTCACTGCTCATGGCCTAAGGCCATGAAGAGGCCAATAAAGGCTGGAGCTCAGGAGCATCAGCCCAGATCCAAAGCTTCCTCTCTGGCACCCAACCATGAAGCTCCTTTTTCCTATCTTTGCCAGCCTCATGCTACAGTACCAGGTGAACACAGGTAATGTGGATTACCAGGTTTAAGATGGGTAGATGTGAGGAACCGAGGATTTGGCTGCCCATGACAATGGAAACCCAAAGAGAGACTGAAAGATGAGATGTTCAAAAAGATGGCTGAAGAGCTTACATATTGTATCAGTCATGCATTGATACATTCTCATAGGCCCCAACTCCCAGACTGTGTCCGATTGGAATACCCAGGAAGCTACAGAGAAAGCAGGATATTTTTTGTGTATTCAGGAACTATCCAAAATATAATGCTGCTTTCCTGCCCTGTACATATCTATCATGCTAAGACCCAGCCCAGCCTTTTTAGCTGTAATTCTATCTTAAACCATTTCTCTCTCTCTCTTTTTTTAAGTTCTGGGGTACTTGTGCAGGATGTGCAGGTTTGTTACATAGGTAAATGTGTGTCGTGGTTATTTGCTGCACCTATCAATCCATCGCCCAGGTAATAAGCCCAGCATGCATTAGCTATTTTTCCTGATGCTCTCCCTCCCCACAACAGGCCCCAGTGTGTGTTATTCCCCTTCCTGTGAAACCACCTCTTGAAACAAAAGTTTCTATCAGTTTGCACTTTGGTGTAGAAAGGAGGAAGTTCTTCTCCTCATGCTCAAAAAAAAACTTTTTCAAGATCCAGTAAACAGGCCTGTGTTCTCCATTTGGAATTATTTCAGGTTTTCCAGAGCCTTATCCCCTCTCTCAGACTTTCTCTTCCTGAAAACCCCCAAGCTACCACAAGGGCATCTAGGAATGCATTATGGCAAAAGCCTAAGCCAGAAGAGTAACTATTGGTTTTGGAAAAGAAAGGATAAGCACTGAGATTTGTTTCAGAATACAAGAATCATCCAGCTATTTGAAATAATGAGCAATGGGTAGGGGCAGGGAAAGTGAAAGAGTCAAAGATGTTTCTAGTGTTTTTGTCTTGGAACCCTAGGAAAAGGGCAGTACCATAAGTAAGTATGGCTGTATCATCTTGGGTAAAGTCACTTAACCACTTTGAACTTCAATTTCCACATGAGTATAATGGGGTTAATCAATGCAGCTGCTTCCAATATAAGAATTTTTCTGTTTTGTATTTGATGAGAAAACAATGTGGAAATGTATGCGAACATGCTTTGAAAATTAGCAGATGCTACATAAATCTCTTGTAATTTATGGAAAAATCATTAAGTTATTAAGAGGAACAAGGGAGAAAAAGTTTCTTGATTCAGAAAAAAAAAAAAACGAGACATTGGGATGGAAAAGTCATTCAGCAGATAAAGAACTAAGCTGAGCAGGGAATTTAGAATTATAGATAACCACACAGAAGTTGCCTTGGTAGAGATGAGGTTAAGGCTATGATAATGAACGAGACTTCTGAGGGATGGTGTGTCCAAAAAGGCTAGAAGAGATGGAAGAACACCATGCTTCAGGAATCACAGATCTGGCGATTGTTGAGAAGAGAGAAGTCATGGACTACTGGGTTTGGTGAACAGCAAGGACTCCTGAAAATTCTATTGATTCCTGAAAATTCTATTGATTCTCTTTTGAACTTCTTTCTTAAATTAGTTTTATGATAGACTTTGCTGTCATTGGTATTTCCTAAGATTATGGAGATGAGATAGTGATGTCCTACAAGTATCTAAGATGCTAAGTTGAAGGTCTAAAATTCTATCCTAAAAGCAAATAATTACTCTATCCTCTACATGTTCTTTGCTTCTTAAAATTACTCAAGAAAGGCAGACTAAACAGGAAATTTATTTTGAATTCAAGAGGGGCATAGAGCCTCTCTTGGCCTGCCCATTTGCCGTGAACAACATTCCTAAACACTGGGCTTTAAATTTAGTATAAATAAACTCTCTCTTAGTCTGTCCATCTCCCACTAGCAGTTTTAACATCATCTCTAGTTATTAACCTTGACCCAATGTTTTTCTCTTTTTTATGCAGAATTTATTGGCTTGAGAAGGTGTTTAATGGGTTTTGGGAGATGCAGGGATCACTGCAATGTGGATGAAAAAGAGGTACAGAAATGCAAGATGAAAAAATGTTGTATTGGACCAAAAGTGATTACGTTGATTAAAAACTACCTGCTATATGAAACACCCAGTATCCTTGGTGAAGACGTCCGAGAAATGCTAAAGCATGTCAAGAATTCTAGTGCTGTGATACCAAGAAAACACATTTTATCTGTTCTCCCCCAAATCAAGAGCACTAGCTTTTTTGCTAATACCAACTTTGTCATCATTCCAAATGCCACCCCTGTGAACTCTGCCACCACCAGCACCATGACCCCAGGACAGATCATGTACACTGGTACTTCTAACAAGAGTGACACCAAAGAAAGCAGAGATTCTGCCACTGCCTCCCCACCACCAGCACCACCTCCAGCAAACATACTGCCAATACCATCACTGGAGCTGGAAGAAGCAGAAGAGCAGTAATGTGGAACTTTCCCTTAAAACTCCAAGTTCCTCCTACTTTTGCTATCTGTAAAATGACATAGAACTGTTTCTTCTGTCATCAGTCATTCAATAAATACTGTTTAAGCACCTACAGTTTATGTAATGTTATCATTCTCACAAGAGCCTCACAGAGGAGGTGGAGATAGGGAAGGATGGAATTTTTTAAGTTTAGATGCCCAGGAAAAAGTGGGCATCAGGAATGTGACTACAGCATCGAGTTTGTCCCATGGATGGCCTGGATTAGGCCTCTGTAACAAGCATTTATGGTGTTTTTTTCCTGGAGCAATAATAAGGAAAGCATCAGGAGATGTATTTTCTTTTCTCATATATTTAGGAGGAAAGGCCCATATGTAAAATAGAATATGGAGAAATCAGAAAAAGATTAATTGTAATAATATATTTTATTGAATGTAATATATCCAAGATATTATTATACATGTACTCAATGTAAAAATTATTTATGAGAGAGTTTTTTTTTGGATTACATCTTTGAAATCTCCTATGTGTAATTACACTTAGAGTACATTTCTATTTACGTTAGCCACATCTCAAGTGCTTATAGTCACATATGGATAGACGATTCTATAGCATATGGAACAGCACAAGGCTAGAGAGTTTTAGGGCACAAGTAGTTATAGGACTGTTAGGCAAACAGGATGCCACTAATCCCGAGAAGACAGGCATGTTTCTGAGGGCTGTGGCATATAACTTAAGAGTATAGAAATTCAGGTATGATATGACTGGGCTAGCATCCTGATACTAGCACTTTTCAGCTGTGTGGTTTTGAACAAATCATTTATCCACACGTAAGCATCAGTTTATTTATTCATAAAATGGAGATGTAACATTATATCCCAAAAATCAGCAATCTCAGATCACGCTTGCTTCTGTTGCCGAAATTACAATGGCACAGACACTTATTCCAGTTTAACAGCTTTATTGAAGCATAACTGATACACAGAGAACCGAACATATTTAATGTGAATAATGGCACGAGTTTGGGCATGTGCAAATAGCTGTGATACTATCACCACAATCAAGGTGATAGACATATACATCACCTTCTAAAGTTTACTTGTGTCCTTTTGGTTTCGGTTTTGGGAGGAGGTGGGGTATTTGTGTGTTTATTTGTTCAGTGAACATTTAACATGAGATTTTTCTTAACAAACTTTGAAGTGTACAATACCATATTGCTAATTACAGGCACTGTGTTGTACAACAGATTTTTAAAACATGTAGTATAACTGAAATTTAATATCCATTAAACAACTCCCTATTTCCCTCACCCCCAAATCCCTAGCAACCATTATTGAATTCTCTGCTTTTACAAGTTTGGCTTTTTAAGATACCACATATAAGTGAGGTTGTGCAGTATTTGTCTTTCTGTGCATGGCTTGTTTTATTTAGCATAATGTCTTCTGAGATCATGCATGTTTCTGCAAATGTAAAATTTTCTTCCCTTCCTAAAACCAAATGATGATTCTGGTGAGTGTGTGAGTGTGTGTGTTTGTGTGTGTGTTTGTGTGTTGTGTGTGTGTATGTGTGTGTTTGTGTGTGTGTGTGTGGTGTGTGTGTGTGTGTGTGTGTGTGTGTGTGTGTGTGTTTATGCATCTGTTAATGGATACTTGGGTCATTTCCACATTTTGGCTATTGTGAATAATGCTGCAATAAACATGAAAGTGCAGATATCTCTTTGAGAGCCTAATTTGACTTCCTCTGGACATACACCCAGAGTGGGATTGGTGGGTCACATGGTAGTTCTACTTTTATTTTTTGAGGAAGCTCCATACTGTTTTCCATAATGGTTGCATCATTTTACAATCTCATCTACAGTACACAATGGTTTGACCTCTCCACATTCTCTCCAACACTTGTTCTCCTTTGGGCTTTTTAAAGTAGTAGCCATCCTAATAGGCTTGAGGTAATATTTCATTGTAGTTTTCATTTGCATTTCTCTGATAATTAATGATGCTGAGCATCTTTTTATATGCTTGTTGGTCATTTGTAGTTCTTTGGGGAAATGTCTGTTTAAGTCCTTCACCCATTTTTAAATCAGGTTATTTGTTTTTCTACTAGTGAGTAGAAGTTTTTGGTTGTTTGTTTTCTGAGACAGAGTCTTGCTCTGTTGCCCAGGCTGGAGTGCAATGGCGCGATCTCGGCTCACCGCAACCTCTGCCTACTGGATTCAGGCAATTTTCCTGCCTCAGCCTCCCGAGTAGCTGGGGTTACAGTTATGTGCCACCACACCTGGCTAATTTTTTGTATTTTTTGTAGCGATGAGGTTTCGCCATGTTAGTCAGGCTGGTCTTGAACTCCTGACCTTGGGATCCACCCACCTCAGCCTCCCAAAGTGCTGGAATTACAGGTGTGAGCCTCCGCACCCAGCCTGAGTAGAAGTTTTTCAAATAAGCTGGGGATTAACCCCGTATCAGACATATGATTTTCAAATATTTTTTCCTATTCTCTATGTTGCCTTTTTATTCTGTCAGTTGCTTCCTTTGCTGTGCAGAAGAGGAGGAAGTACTTCCAAATTCACATTATGAGGCTGACATTACCCATATACCAAAAGCCAGACAAAGACACTGCAAGAAAATAAAATTAAAGGCCTATGCACCTGGTGCACATAGATGTAAAAATTCTCAACAAAATACAAGCAAGCCAAATTCAACAGCACATTAAAAGAGAATCATTCACCATGATCAAATGGAATTTATCCCTGGGTTGCAAGGATGGGTCAACATATGCAAATCAATAAATGTGATATACCACAGTAACAGAATGAAGGGTAAAATCACATAATCGTCTTGATGTATGCACAAAAAGTATTTGACAAAATTCAAAACCCTTTCGCGATAAAGATGCTCAACAAACTAGGTATAGAATGAATGTACCTCAACATAACAAAGGCCATATTTGACAAGCTTGCAGCTAACATTATTCTCAATGTTGACAAATTGAAAGATTTTCCCCTAAGATTGGGAACAAGACAAGAATACCCATTTACTTTCATCTTATCTTTTCTTTATTTAATGGAGACAGCATCTCACAATGTTGTCCATACCAGTTTCGAACTTCTGGCTTCCAATAATACTCCTGCCTCAGCCTCCCAAAGCTCTGGGTTTACAGGTGTGAGCCACTGCACCCAAACCATGACTATTTAACATAGTACTGCAAGTCCTAACCAGAGCAATTAGGCAAGAAAAAGAAATAAAGGGCATTAAATTTGGAAAGTAAGAAGTAAAAGTCTCTCTGTTTGCAGGTAACATGATCATATATGTAGAAAACCTTAAAAAGTCACACACACACACAAATGTGGAAGAAATAAATTTTTAAAAGTCAACATGCAAAAATCAGTAGCATTTCTATACACTTAACAATTAACCATTCAAAAAGAAAATCAAGAAAACAATTTTATTTACAAAAGCATCAAAAAGAATAAAATAGGAATAAACTTAACCAAAAAAGTGAAAGATGTACATTGAAAACTTAAAAACACCGATTTTAAAAAATCAAAAGAAACACAAATAAATGGAAAGATATTCCATGTTCAGGTATTGAAAGACTTAATATTGTTAAACTGTTCATTCTATTTAAAGTGATCTACAGATATAATACATCCTCCCCTTCCACATCACAATGGCATTTTTTAAAGAAATGGAAAAAACATCCTAAAATTCACAGGGTACCACAAAAGACCCAGAGGAGCAAAATCAACCATGAGGAAAAAGAACAAAGCTGAAGGCATCACACTTTCTGATTTCAAAATATGTTACAAAGGTATAGTAATTAAAGTAGCATAGTACTCACTTAAAAACAGACACATTGACCAATAGAATAGGACAGAGAGCCCAGAAATAAACCCACATATTTATGGTCAATTGACTTTCCACAGAGGTTCTAAGAACACGCAATGGGGAGAGGATGGTCTCTTCAATAAACGATGTTGGGAAAACTGGCCACCTACATGCAGAAGAATGAAATTGGATCCTTATCTCACCTCATATACAAGAAATTAACTCAAAATGGATTAACGGCTTAAACATATGACCTAAAACTGTAAAACTACTAGAAGAAACATGGTAGTTTTCTATGTTTAAGCTCCATGACATTGCTCTGGGCAATGACTTCTTACATATGGCCCCAAAGCACAGGCAACAAATGGAAAAACAGATAATAACTGCATCCAGATTTTTTAACATATTCTTCTCTGCTACATATCACCTACCTCCATTTAGAGACCACCTCCCCTCAGCTACTTATTTTTTAATACAGTGTCACTCTAAGAAAGAAAGATTTTTGTGATGCCCCACAGTGATTCTAGAATATAACCTGAAAACATATTTTCCTGGAAGTTTTTGCACAACAGAAAAGAGTTGCAAAACAAAGCATAAATTTAACACCTGCTAGATATGTGCTCTCAGAGGAGCCCGAAGCCTACCTGATGGGCATTAGATTTTCTCTCTGCCACTGCTATTTGTCAAACTCTCGCAAGTCCATCTTTCCTCCCCAAGGAAGGAAAATTCTCATGGAATGCTCTCTTCCGTGTTTACCCACAGAAAGGAGAGAGAGGTTGTTTCTCACACAAATTTAAGGACTTCCTTTAAGTCCTCTTCCCTATTACAGAACGCACCCATCTCGGGATAAATTATACTGGAGAATATCAGTTTGCTTCAGGGAAATCCCATACCCACTGTGAAAAGTGTGGTAACTCTCCAACATAAGTTCTCCCCTTTTCCTATGTAATCGAACCCTCCAAATATTAGATTGGCACAAAGCCAATCAGTGTCAAGGCTGCATTTCCCATCTAGAACTGGTTATTCTTCAATTCAGAACAGCCATAACTGGCCACTTTTGCAATTATTCATGAATATTCTTGGTGAAAACCTGAGTTTCCATTTTGCCAAAGTTTTCAAAGGAAAAGAGGGCCTTTTTCTAAGCCCTGAGAGCCCCACAGTGATAGTAATTTAGCTGGGCATGATGGTGGGCACCTGTAATCCCAGCTACTCAGGAGACTGAGGCAGGAGAATTGCTTGAACCCAGGAGGTGGAGGTTGCAGTGAGCCAAGATTGTGCCACTGCACTCCAGCCTGGGTGACAAGAGCAAAACTCCATCTCAAAAAAATAAAATGAAATGAAATGAAAAAATAAAAATTAAAAAAAGTGAGATGAGGATTCAACCTGGCCATCCCAGGTCCTACCACTCCAGGTCCTGCCACTCAGGGACTATGTGACTCTAAAGTTTTTCGTTTTTTTTTTTTTTTTTTTAACTTCTCAGAGCCAATATTAGAACCCAATCTGACAAAATTAGAAACCTATGAACATTCCACTTTTAGCAGTGCATTTATGGAGCACTTCACAGGGAGTCACCAAAGTATCAATCAATAAATAAACTACTACCCTACCTTGAACTATTAGGTTGGTGCAAACATAACTGCAGTTTTTACAGTGTTGGAATTTGCTGTGTGATATTGGAATGCATTCTTAAATAAATATGGTTATGTTATACATCATTTTAATAGACATTTCTCACTTTATTTTTTTGCTAATGACTTATTACTTGCTGTTTATTTTATGTTTATTTTGGACTACGGAAGTGATATTAGACAAAAAGAACATCGAAGTGATTTTCTTATTCAAGTTCAAAATGGGTCGTAAAGCAGCAGAGACAACTCACAACATCGACTACCCAACTGGTCCAGGAACTGCTAACGAACGTACAATGCAGTCGTGGCTCAAAAAGTTTTGCAAAGGAGACGAGAACCTTGAAGATGAGGAATGTAGTGACCGGCCATTGGAAGTTAACAACAACCAATCGAGAGCAATCATCGAAGCTGAACCTCTTACAGCTACATGAGAAGTTGCCAAAGAATTCAAGGCTGACCATTCTGTGGTCGTTTGGCATTTGAAGCAAATTGGAAAGGTGAAAAAGCTTGATAAGTGGGTGCCTCACGAGCTGAACAAAAATCAAATCATCGTTTTGAAGTGTTCCTCATCTCTTATTCCTTATTCTACGCAACAATCACGAACCATTTCCAGATTGGATTGTGACATGCGATGAAAAGTGTATTTTACACGACAACCAGTTCAGTGGATGGATGGAGAAGAAGCTGCAAAGCACTTCCCAAAGCCAACTTTGCACTGAAAAAAAGGTCATGGTCGCTGTTTGGCGGTCGGATCCACTACGGCTTTCTGAATCCCAGCGAAACCATTACCTCTGAAAAGTATGCTCAGAAAATCGATGAGATGCTCCGAAAACTGCAATGCCTGCAGCCAGCATTGGTCGACAGAAAGAGCCCAATTCTTCACGACAAGCCTGACCTCATGTCGCACAACCAACACTTCAAAAGTTGAATGAATTGGGCTACGAAGTTTTGCCTCATGCGCCATTTTCACCTGACTTCTCGCCAACCGACTGCCACTTCTTCCAACTTTTTGCAGGGAAAAAGCTTCCACAAGCAGCAGGATGCTGAGAATACTTCCAAGGGTTTCTCGAACCCCAAAGCACGGATTTATACACTACAGGAATAAACAAATGTATTCCTTGTTGGCAAAAATGTGTTGATCATAATGGTTTCTATTTTGATTAATCAAGATGTATTTGGGCCTAGTTATAGTGATTTAAAATTCATGGTCTGAAACTGTCATTACTTTTGCACCAACATAATATCTATGCAGGCGAAAGGTGAATTCTCTCTGCTTTTGCTACCAGTGAGGTGCTTGATGACGTTCCTGCAAGCTGCCAACAGATAGGAGGGGGAAGAGCCAGTGATGAAGAGAACTATTAGAGGGGGAGTCCTAATTGATTAGAAGACCATCCCTCTACAATCCACATCACTTCTAAAGGCCCAATTTCCAGTGCAGAGCTACTTTGAAAATGTTGTTTATGAATGCAAATTGTTACTTGTAAAAATTATAAAATGAGAGACTATTATGAGTATATATAAAATAAGTTGGTCTGTAAATGACCTAAGATGGTGAAGAGAAGAGCACTAAATAAAACCATAAATTAAGAGTTGGGAGCTTGGTAATGTCCAGGAAAAAATATTTATTTTAACAAAGCAAAAGCCTTTTGTTATACAGGAGACTCAGAATGCAGCAAGGAATATGCTGGGCTCTAGAGGGCAGGGCAGGCACACAGCAGCTGGCACTGCTTGTCTGGGAATTAGAAAAATCCAAGCAAGAAGCAGCGTTGTTACTGGCTTCCCTGCTCTCTCCTTGTCTCTCAGAGAGCTGGATACTAGCTCGGCCTGGCCTGCACCCATAGAAGACAATGGGTTATCTACTTCCTTTACCACTAAGTGAGGCAAGAAGCTGAACTGTGTTCCCCTCAAAATTCATATGCTAAAGCCTTAACCCACAATGTCACTGTATTTGAAGGTAAAGCCTTTAAAGAGGTACTTAAGGTTAAATGAAGGCGTATGAGTAGGATCCTATCCAACATAATTGGCATTCTTAAGAGAAGAAGAGGAGCTACCAAGGATATGCATACACAAAGAAAAGGCCATGTTAGGGCACAGCAAGAAGTCAGCCATCTGCAGGCCAAGGAGGGAGGTCTCATGAGAAACCAAACCTGCCAGCACCTTGATCTTGGACTTCCAGTCTTCAGAACTGACAGAAACTGAATATCTGCTGTTCTGGGATAGCAACCTTAGACTAATACAGACCATAAAAGAGATAATGTCCTTTTCTTCCTTCTTTCTGAGCTCTGGGTAAAGAGGTTGGATAAAGCCGGGTGTGGTGGCACATGCCTATATTCCTTGCTAGTCAGGAGGCTGGGACAGGAGGATTGCTTGAGCCCGGTAGTTCTAAGCTGTAGTACACTGTAGTCATACCTGTGAATAGCCATTGCTCTCCAGCCTGGACAACACAGTGAGACCCTGTTTAAAAAAAAAAAAAAAAAAAGGAAGGGGGGGGAGGGGGGGGAGGAAAGAGGGAGGATAAATTGCTTTTTTTTTTTTTTTTTTGAGAAGGAGTTCCACTCTTTTCGCCCTGGCTGGAGTGCAGTAGCACGATCTCAACTCACTGCAACCTCTACCTCCCAGGTTCAAGTGATTCTCCTGCCTCAGCCTCTCGAGTAGCTGGGATTACAAGCACCCACCACCATGTCCAGCTAATTTTTGTATTTTGTTAGAGACAGTGTTTCACCATGTTGGCCAGGCTGGTCTCAAACTCCTGACCTCAGGTGACCCACCCACCTCAGCCTCCCAAAGTGCTGAAATTACAGGCATGAGCCACCACACCCGGCCAACAGATGCCTCTTACAACACCTGAGCCTCTGCCTTCATTCTAAATTTGTGATTCACAGGCCCTGGGCAAAGCTGAGTAACTTCAATAGGATTTTTAACTCAAATCCAAGATGGAAGTTTATATAAAGGTATAGTCAGACTTGGCTGTGTTTAGAAAGTATGTTTCTGCCATTGCTCAGCAAGTATTTATTAGCATCTATTCTGGTCTCTGGGCATACATTAAGGACTAAGAAATGAATGAACTCTAATCATTTTCATGCTTAAAAAAATATACAGCCAAGATACAGAAATAAATAGGCAAATGACCACATAACAGCAAGACATGTATAGTCATGCTCACTGCAGGTAAAAAGAACCTCCAGCTCTGAGTGGGGAAGGGGGAGTGAGTGCTGAGGACTTGGAAAAGAGGAAGCGTGGGTAGAATGCGGTAGACTGGTGTGGAGTGGAGCTGTTGGAGTTGGATTAGAGCCTGCATGAGTAAGGGAGTGAGGTGAAAGTGGAGGAACAGCAGAGTGTGCGTTTTCTCAGTTGCCAGAGATTCTGGGCAGCTTCATTTGATCTTGGAAGATTTGGACAGAAGAGGGTGAGAAAGGCCCATCTAGCAACCCTGTGCCTCATAATTTCCTGTATTCTTGAAATTATTACTAAAGCTTAAGGCTGGGAAAGATCTCTGATTCCCCTGAATTTGATTTGCAAACCAATCAATCATTTGTGTTAAGTGGGAAAGAAAGCAAATGTTTCTGTGTGAATATACTCATCTCAAAACATTTTCAAGATAAAATGTTTTACAAACTATGCTTCTGAGTCAATAGGGCTGAGCTGTTTACTTTTAATTTCAGCAACTTAGAGGAAGTTTCTCGTCAGAAAAAAATTGCTATAAGACACTTCCTATCAGCCAGCCCTGTGCCAAATTATTTACATGGGTCATCTTCTCTAGTCTTTAATCAGCCCGCTTATGAATGGACAATTAATTATCTCAATTTGACAGATGATGAAACTGAAGCTTGAAGAGATTAAGTTACCTAAGATCATACAATATGCCTCCAAAATTCAAAGAGGGCCGAAGAATTGTGCCCTCTTTGGGCACGATAATTGTGCAAGAAGAAGCAAATTATCTATCTCTTTGGACCACAGACTGTGGATCCACCGTAACCTTGCTGAAATGGAAGCCTTTGTCATTACAAGCTGCATCTTCTGGCTTGTAGCAAAAAACTACTTTCTCTTCACCAGATCTTATCAGCACGTTGTGGACCTGTGTAATATTCTGTGTGCTGAAAAGATGATCAAGCTTCCTATGGATTCAAATTATGGCAAAAATGTAAAACAGAATGATAAGAGAGTACTGAAGTCTCTACTAGATGGTGAAAAAACTGCTTAAAAACCACACGACTAGTTATTATAGATACTGTTGGCTACTGTTTCCTTTCTCTTGAGTGGGTCTGAGCAAAGAGAGAGGATGGGATGCACTGTGCTTTCTTTTCTTTTCTTTTTTTTTTTTGAGATGGAGTCTCGCTCTGTCACCCAGGCTGGTGTGCAATGGCATGATCTTGGCTCACTGCAACCTCCACCTCCCAGGTTCAAGTAATTCTCCTGCCTCAGCCTCCTGAGTAGGTGGGATTACAGGAGCACATCACCACGCCCAGCTAATTTTTGTATTTTTAGCACAGACGGGGTTTCACCATGTTGGTCAGGCTGGTCTCAAACTCCTGACTTTGTGATCTGCCTGCCTCGGGCTCCCAAAGTGCTCAGATCACAGGCGCGTGCCACCATGCCCAGCTGTGCTTTCAGCTCTCTATTGTCTCATCTGGGTTTCAGTGTTTCAGCACAGTTCTAAACACTAACACAGGATCTTGTCCCATGTAGCAGTCAGATCTCACCTTGCCTCTAGAGACACCATGCATCCATAACAAAGAACCTCATAACTGTGTGTTCCACATCTTCACGGCTTAATTACTGATGCTCTCAGGGAACCTGAGAACTGAAAATTGATCCTGCTGAACAAGATCAATAAACAGTTTTGATTCAAAGGCAACCCAATGAGTTAATAAGTGCCCCATGACAATGCCAAAGAGGATTAAAGAAAGA